AAAGCAAACATTTTACATTTCATAATTGAACCTCCATTTTTATTTGAAATTCCTAAACAGATGTCTTATGAAAAAATCAAGAAAGTCTTGATAATTATGTGAAATATGTTTGCTGCCTATGAAGCACCCTGTTTAACAAAGTGCAGGAATTTTATGTACCCAAATCCATGCCTTAGAGTGCAAGGAAATGTGATGTCAGTATAATGGTGCGTTCAGACCGCACACGGTGAGCGCGGTGATTTCTTCAAGCCCCACAGGTGATTCACCGCTCTGCATGTCAGATGCAAAGTGTTAACACCCTGGACTGCATCATCAAATAGGAGAAGCTCCCCCTGCATAAAGCTGACACCCCACCGATGTGGAAAAAAAAACCAACAAAAAAAACGAAAGGGTAATGCCTCCTTAAGGCAACCTTGGGCAATAAAAAAAAAAAAAAAAAAAAAAAAAAAAAAAAAAAAACAAGTACAAAACCCCGAAAACACAGATAACAAAGAAAGAGAGACAGCACACACAAAAAAAAAATAACCCCACAAAAAGCTCCGAATTCAAGAAAAAGGAGCCAAAATAAAAAAACCGCCAAAGCATTCCTGAAGGCAAAACTGGCAGATGTGAGGATTTGCTGTATTCTAAGATAAAACAAAAAAGAATAGCCAACAACAACACCAGCCAACTAAACCACAGAGCGGCACGCAAAGCAAGAAAAAAAGAAGCCACAAAAAAAGAAACAGAGACAGACTCCGGTGCGAAAGCAAAATAAAGACCAGAAACAGTAAAACAAGGACTAACGCCCCGGACACACAAAATAAAAACGAACAAGAAAAGATATAACTTTATGTTTTTATGGGTGAAGCTTCTGCCTTCTTGCTGCTCCTTTAACTATTTTGAACAAAATTACAACCTCCCAAACCTTTGCCTCTTTTACATATTATTACCTAGGATGATTTGCTTTTGTATCTCGTTGTAATGATAAGTATCTACCCATCTAACAACTTTCATGATTTACTGTCTGACTTTGAATTAGAGAGTTTGACATTGAGATTTGGTGACACGGATTGTAAATCAAGGAGTGAAACAATTTGAAAGACCAAATCTGATTTGATGGGGAAGACTGTGGGGTTTACCTGCCACTTATCACAGCTAATAATGACAGCTGGGCCTCTGGAACAATGAGTATGACAGCCTGGCCTCCCACCATCAGCTAGTTGCCAAGGGAGGCAACAAAGAGGAAGAAGAAATGAGTGCATAGAAAATATTCTTAGGAAATCAAGAAGACACCATGCCTTCAGGCAGATTCCACCTCTTTGTATGATGAGACTAAAAAGAATCTCAAGTATTTTGTCACATTAGGAGGGAGATTATTGTGGAAAACTCTGGAAATGTCTATAAAAGATGATTTGTAACATGCAGTGAATGTAAGGGAGAGGCATCACTAAAGCTTTGAAAAGTGGAAATCAAGTACGAGTACACAGCGGGGCTTGTACCAAGAGAGACCAACCCAAAAATATATCAGCAGCTCCCGAAGGAGGAAGATAATCCTGCTTCTGACGAGCAGGGAGGGCTGGGAGCAAGCGCAGCTCAGAGACCCTGTGGAAGACAGCAATTCCACAGAGACAGAAGTGAAATAGAGGGAGACTGAGAGACCAAAATAGAGAACAAGAGGACAAGAAATGAGGCAAGATTGTCATATGAACTTATGTTTGTGTCGGTCTGAGGAATTCACTGCTGCTTGACCAAACAGACCTAAGCCATGACTCTAGTAAAAGGCAGAGGTTCCAACAGTATTTTCTCACCTTCTCCTGTTACAGTATACCTCGTGCTGTACCCCCAGCCCTCCAACAGTCCCCTGAGGTTTGATCAAAAATCACTTACCCTCCATTGGAGTATTGCTGTCTGTCCGGTTGGCAAAGACCACATCTACATAATCCAACTGCATTCTCTGGAGGGAACCTTTTAAACCTGAGGACAGAAAAATATTTGAATAAGTTAGGAAGGATTATATGTTGAAAAAGGGCAAAGTGAAGTACAAGGCATTGCATGATTCTAGTCCCAATGAAGATAGGTCTCCATTTTATGCATCTAACGCTGCCCATTATCAAAGCTTTTCTAGTGCAAAAATATTTTCAATAATGGTGAATCTCTAAGCTAATACGATTCTTGGAATGATGATTAAAAATAATTATGGCATATCAGTAATTTAATTCTATTTTTGCTGAAAACCAATACAGAAAATATTTGTTAAATTCAATTCATGATGGCAGGTTGATAACTACAAACTAAACAAGAGATCCAGTTAAAACTAGTTCATCGCAGAATGGTCTGCTATTTAAAGACGCAATGAGAGTACAGAGTCAAAGAGAATAACAACGTCTTTAAAATAATTTTAGGAAATTAGACTCTGACTTTTAAACGTTAAACAATTTATAAAGTTGGTTTCATTTAAGCAAAATATATATAAATATATTTAATTATTGAAACCATTATTTATGTTGGCTGTGATGTGGTCTAATAAACTGGAAATACTCTCTCATCTAACACAAACAGGGACATTGGTTAAAAAATGTGTCCCCAGTCCATCGCAGTCACGCACACACTCACATCCAAGGAGCATTTAGAGAAGCCAATTAATCTAACAGTCGTGTTTTTGAATTGTGGGAGGAAACCGGAGTACCAGTAGAGAACCCACCATGCGCAGGGAGAACATGTAAACATGCAAAACAGATCCTGGGCCAGGAATCGAAGCTGGAACCTTCTTACTGCAAGGCAGCAGTGCTATACACTGTGCAATCTGCCAATTTATTAACAGAATCACCAAATATTAAAACAGATCTAGTATGTATTTTTTACACTTACATTTTAATTGGTGCATTTAATATTTCTCCTTCCTTCTCCACACAGTTCTGACTGTTCAAATCTTGCTGTATGAGGTTAGGGTTCATAAAGGGCACACCTTTCGATAGAAAACTGAAATCTCTCTAAACTGTGTCCTTGTACAAATTCACAAAAAAATCTTAACGGATAAGAAAAGATCTCAGAGAAAGAATTGTGGATTCTTCACAGGTTTCGCTCATCCTTGCATATAATATTATGATGCCTGAAGATGCCTCGTTTATCTTTTAAAACATTTCTGTGCAAGCTTAAACACCATGGAAGTAATGAACCATTGCAAAGTTCAGGAAGGGGACAAATCCAATGTTCCATACATAATATTTGGGTACAAAATCTGCATTTTAACCCTAGGACAAAAGCAAAAGAGTTTGAAAAGATGGTGACCGAAGGAATTATAAACATTCTTATCAATAACAACAGACTAGTTGCGTGCTGATATGAGTTACACTAATTAGCAAGGAAGAAACCATTATTCTAGAAGCACAGAGAAAAAGACTTTATCTTTGAGATATTTCCTGCAGTCTCATGAAAACTAAATGTTTTTGGGCATAATGACAATAGCTATATTTTGGGGAAAAATGGTGAAGTTTACAAGACTGGTAGCAACAAAAGGTTATTAGATCTGATATAGGAAGGACTTGTCCACTTCAAAAAAAGCATTCTGAGAAAGAAAAAGCAGAGTGCTTTAAGCAAAAAAAAAGTGCCGGTATTCAAGCCTCATGATGTTAACATGGAAATATACCGCAAAAAAAGAGAAAGATATAAAATAACAGAGATTTATAGACAAATAAATTACGGTATGATTCTCTCTTAAGATTTTAATAAGGTTGATGGTTCGCTTCTGTGAAAAAATATGTTTTCTTCATATTAGGCCTGGCCTCAACCTACCAATGCCCTTTTTAACCACATCATTTATTAAACACTGCCACTCATGCACTGAGCCTAGGGCAACAAAAATCATTGGGCTTGTCAAAAATCACAGATATAGTAGGTAATCATAATAGCCACATTTTCAGAGTAGAAATGTGTAAAGCATGTTATAAGATATAAGCAATACAAAAATATTTACTCAATAAAAATATCGACCTCTTGCCACTTTCTTCCATGGTTTGTAATTGAATAGTTAAAAAAGCTGCTACAGGTTTACAAAGTCATGAGATGTTGAATCCAAAACATCTTGGCAACGAGAATATGAAAAAAAGCAATAAGGGGTGTCAATGTTAATGTGTAAATGCACATTTTTAAAACAAGTTCTTTTTAGTAAGGACAGGGGGGGGGATAAAGTCCCGGTACGCTGATGGGTATTTGGAAGTGAAAATACTGCATACCTTAATTCCTTTTATATGGAATATAAGACAAAAATCTCAAGGAATTAACCAGGGAAGTTAAGGCTTTGGTGCAAATGAGCCTTCTACATGTATAATGACCCCAAACACAAGGGAAAAGTAGTTTTATCATGGGATTAAAAAACATCCATCCATCCATCCATCCATCCATCCATCCATCCATCCATCCATCCATCCATCCATCCATCCATCCATCCATCCATCCATCCATCCATC